GCCTTGAGCTGAAGAGCTGAGGGACAGCGCCCAGGCCCAGAGTTCAAGCCCCACGACCGACAAAAAAAAAAAAAAAATCTCATCCTGGGCTGTAGCTGAATGGTGACTTTGACCCTGAGTTGAGCCCCAAAAGTGGCCCCACCCCTCCCCTCAAGTTCCTAACTCTGACCCAAGGAGCAGGGGTTGAGAGGAGCAGGGGGGCGAGGGCAGGGGGAGACAGGGGCTCTGGGGAGGAGGTCCTGGGCCTACCAGGATCCTTGAGAGACCTGCTGTTCTTTCAGGTTCATCCCAGCTCCTGGCCCTAGTGCAGCGCGTGGTGCCAGGGGCACAGCTGGTGGAGGAGCTGCCCCGAGAGCTGGTGCTGTCCCTGCCCTATGCGGGTGCCCTGGACGGCAGCTTTGCCTCACTCTTCCAGGAGCTGGACCAAGGCTTGGCGGCACTGGGCCTCACTGGCTATGGGATCTCGGACACCAGCCTTGAGGAGGTGCAGGGCGGAGGGGGCTCCCTGGAGGAGGGAATTTGGAGAATGAATAGGAGTCTTCATTTTTTTTTTACTGGTACTGAGGCTTACTCAGGGCCTTTCCCTCTCATATGGGATTTTTGGTATTCTACCAGTTGAGTCACAGCTCCACATCCAGTTTTTTGGTGGTTAATTGGAGATAAGAGTCTCACAGACTTTTCTGCCTGGGCTGGCTTTGAACCATGATCCTCAATCTCAGCCTCCTGAGTAGCTAGGATTATCGGTGTAAGTCACTGGCACCTGGAAGGAGTCTTCTTATTGATATATTTTTTAAATTTGAACTCAGGGCTTGGATGTTGTTCCTGAGCTTCATTTTGCTCAAAGCTAGAACTCTAACAATTGAATCACATCTCTACTTCCAGGTTTTTTGGTACTTTATTGGAAATAAGCATCTCACAGACTTTGCTGCCTGGGCTGGCTTCAAACGGAGATCCTCAGTGTGGTTAGGATTATGGGCATGAGCCACTAGTGCCTGGCGGGAGTCTTACTGATAGGCAGAACATGGGAGGGAGGAGGCAGGGCCAGGGCAGGAGGCTTGGCATCCCTCGGGGAAGCCTGAAGGGACCCTTCCCAGAACCCCCTTGTCCCTGAGATCCTGTTCTGTCTCCCCAGATCTTCCTGAAGGTGGTGGAGGACTGTGCTGTAGACGCAGACCAGGAGGGTGCGGCCAGGCTCCCTGACCTTTCACCCTTGACCCTGACCCTCAGCTGACCCTAGCCTAAATCCAAGTCCCAACCCTTGATTGAGTCTGTCCTTTGTGCCTAGCCCTGAGTCCTGACTTCTTCCTTCATAACCCTGACCCTTGACCCTGATCCCATCCTGGCACACTAATCTCGGTCTCTGGTTGCTGTTGGCTTGGCAGATGGCAGCTCAGGGCAGCATCTGAGTACCCGAATTGCCGCCCTTCGGCGCAAGACACTGCCAGAGACCTCAGCCCTGGAGAATGGGGAGCCAGGTGAGTCTCTTCTCCACGCCCTGGCCCTCTCCAGGTCTTCATAGTATGAGACTGACCCCTGACCTTCCTGTCCTTCACAGCTGGGCCATGCCCACAGAGTCAGGCCCTGCGGGGCTGCGGGACAGTGGCTGCAGGCCGGGCATGCGGTGCTGCGTTGATCCACCGGCAGCTCTGGGCGCTGCTTCTCAAGCGTTTTCTGCTGGCCTGTCGCAGCCGCCGTGGCCTATTTGCCCAGGTGAGGGGGACCCAGCATCACGGCATTGTCTGTTTATGGAGGGGTGAGGGTGGGGGTTCAGGGCTGGTTCTAGAGCAGGAGTGGAGGCTGCAGCTCATGGTCTGGTACCCTCAGATCGTGCTGCCCGCCCTGTTTGTGGGCCTGGCTCTGGTGTTCAGCCTCATCGTGCCCCCTTTTGGCCACTACCCAGCCCTGCGGCTCAGTCCTGACATGTACGGTGCCCAGGTCTCCTTCTTCAGGTGGGTGCTGGGAAGGAGGGCCTGGTGGGGGGAGGGAGGGCTAGGACCCTGGAGTCACAAACTTGACCCCACATCTCCTTCCCCTTCAGTGAGGATGCACCATGGGACCCTGTTCAGGCCCGGCTGCTTGAGGCCCTGCTTAGAGAGGCAGGGCTGGATGGGCCCTGCCTGCAGAACACCTCCACCAGGTGATGCCTTCAGCCTGGTCCTGCTCCCTCTGGCTTTTATTTTTCTCCCCTCCCTTTTTTGCCCCTCCCCCCTCCACTCATCTCTGAACTCTAGTTCTAGTCCTCTCCTTCCCTCTCACCCCTGGGGGGGGCTCTGGTCTCAGTTTCCCCCCTGGGATCTAGCCTCAGTTGCTTCTTTGAGGCTGGCCTCAGTTTCCCCCCTGAGCTCTGACTCCAGTTTCCCTCCTGGGTTCTGGGGCGAGCACACAGCATGCCTAGTAGAGGTTGCTGGTGTTCATGTCTGTATTGACGCCCACAGGGAGCCTGAGCACACACAGCATCCTGCCTGCCGATTCTCTGTCCCCAAAGTTCCTGCTGATGTGGCCCAAGCCTTGGCCCGTGGCAACTGGACCCTGGACTTCCCATCCCCGGCTTGCCAGTGCAGCCAGCCTGGTGTCCGCCGCCGTCTGCTCCCTGACTGCCCCGCTGGGGCCGGTGGCCCCCCACCACCCCAGGCTATGGCCAGCTCAGGGGAGGTGGTGCAGAACCTGACAGGCCGAAACGTGAGCGATTTCCTGGTGAAGACCTACCCACGCCTGGTACACGAGGGGTGAGCCACCGCTGGGTCTGGGTCTGGCTTCAAGGATGCGGTGCCAGGGACTCCCAACGGGGACTCCCCAGGGCCCTCCACCCTCGCCTGCTGCCTCTCTCCCCTTAGCTCTTCCACGCCTCCAACCTTCCCATCTCACTGGCCCCCTCCTTCCTGACTCTCCACAGCCTGAAGACTAAGAAGTGGGTAAATGAGGTCAGGTAAGGAGCGACCTGGAGTCGGGGGTTCCCTACTCTGTTCCTTTCCCCATGCTCTCCAGTGGCTCCACTGGCCCTCCCCTCCCCCCAGATATGGGGGCTTCTCACTAGGGAGCCGAGATCTGGACCTCCCCACAGGGCATGAGGTGGGCCACACGGTGGAGTTACTCCAGTCGCTGCTGACCCCCCAGGCCGGTGGTGCCCTGGACAGGATCCTGAACAACCTCACAAAATGGGCTGATGGCCTGGATGGGCAGAAAAACTTCAAGGTAGGAGCTGAAGGCAGCAGGTAACAGCCAGCTGGAGTCGTGTCTCTGTCTATCGACCCTAACGCCATGGCCTTTTCTCCACCTAGATCTGGTTCAACAACAAGGGCTGGCATGCCATGGTGGCCTTCATCAACAGAGCCAACAACGCACTCCTACAGGCCCACCTGCCCCCAGGCCCCGCCCGCCGGGCCCACAGCATCACCACACTCAACCACCCGCTGAACCTGACCAAAGAGCAACTGTCTGAGGCTGCACTGTGAGTCTCTGCTGGCGCAGCCTCCCTGGTCATGGTGGTGGTGGGTTCCGGGTTGTGGGGACTGGATCAGAATTCTGCCCATCTGTTCTTTGTAAGAGAGCTATCAGCAGGCTGAAGGCTTTCCTAGCCGCCTGAATATTCTTTTCCCTACCAATTTTTATCATTCTAGCTAGGTACCAATGGCTCATGCTGGTAATTCTAGCTACTCAGGAGGCTGAGATCTGAGGATCATAGTTTGAAGCCAGCCTGGGCAGGAAAAGTCTATGACATTCTTATCTCCAATGACACACCAAAACAAAGCTGGAAGTGGAGTTGTGGCTCAAGTGGTAGAGTGCCTTGAACAGAAAAGCTGAGGGATGGGCTGGGAAGGTGGCTCGGTGGTAGAGCGCTTGCCTTGCATGCATGAGGCCCTGAGTTTGAATCCTCAGCACCACATAAGCAGAAAAAGCCAGAAGTGGTGCTGTGACTCAAGTGATAGAGCACTAGCCTTGAGCTGAAGAGCTGAGACACAGCGCCCAGGCCCAGAGATCAGGCCCACGACCAACCAAAAAAAAAAAAAAGCTAAGGGACAGCACTTAGACCCCGAGTTCAAGCCCCAGTACCTGCACAAAAACAAACAAAAAACTTTTTTTTTTTTTTTTTGCCAGTCCTGGGGCTTGAACTCCAGGCCTGGGCACTGTCCTTGAACTTCTTTTTTGCTTAAGGCTAGCACTCTATGACTTGAGCTACAGCACCACTTCTGGCTTTTTCTGCCTCTGTGGTACTGAGGAATCAAATGTAGGGCTTCTCGCGTGCTAGCCAAGCACTCTACCACTAAGCCACCTTCCCAGCCAAAGAAAACCCAACTTGTCCCCTCCCCCCAAAGAGGACTCGCCCACCCATGTCCCCAGATCTCCCTTCCCCTCTCCCTGCCACCAATGGGCACAGCAGACCTTTGTCCCCTCTGTTGCATGCACAAGATCCACTCTGAGAACCCTTGCACCCTCACTCCCAGGATGGCCTCCTCAGTGGACGTCCTGGTCTCCATCTGTGTGGTCTTCGCCATGTCCTTCGTCCCAGCCAGCTTCACCCTTGTGCTCATCGAGGAGCGTGTCACTCGAGCCAAACACCTGCAGCTCCTTGGGGGCCTTTCCCCGACCCTTTACTGGCTCAGCAACTTTCTCTGGGACATGGTGCGAGGGCTGGCCTGGCCTGGCTGGGGTAGGGCGGGGAACAGAACTGCTTGTCCTTGCCTCTTCCAGCAGGGGAGGGGCTTAGGCAAGATGACATGAGCAAGGTCTGGAGGATTGTGGGAAGTTTCTTACTCTTCTGCACCAAAAAGCGGGGAGGCTGGGATTGGGGAATGTAGCTTGGTGATGGAGCACTTTGCCTTGCATGTATGAAATCCTGGCCTCCATCTGTAGCACCCAAAAAACAAAGAAGTGATGGGATTCGGGGAGGCTGAAGTTCCTGCCCCTTCACGTGTTGAGGTAACTCTGTCTCCAATGCAGTGTAACTACTTGGTGGCTGTCTGCATAGTGGTGCTCATCTTCCTGGCCTTCCAGCAGAAGGCGTACGTGGCTCCTGCAAACTTGCCTGCTCTCCTGCTCTTGCTACTGCTGTATGGGTAAGGCAAAGGCCTGCGCTTTCTGACCTCCTACCTGCTCTGTGGAGGGACTCTGCAGCATCTTCAGGAGAAGATGTGGAGGGTGATTGAATTCAAGATGGTGCCATTGTGGCCTTAAAAGCTCCTCACATCCTCATTCCTATGAATCAAGTCACGAGGGAGAAGATGGGAGGGGAGATCTGTGCTTTTAGCCAGTGCTCCTAGTTATCAGATGACTCCTCTTATCCTAGCTGGTCGATCACGCCACTCATGTATCCAGCCTCCTTCTTCTTCTCTGTGCCCAGCACGGCCTACGTGGTGCTCACTTGCATCAACCTCTTCATTGGCATCAACAGCAGCATGGCCACCTTTGTGCTTGAGCTCTTCTCTGACCAGGTGGGGCTGTGCAGAGCTGAGGTTGGGGCGAGGTGAAGGGTGTCGGCCTCATTCTACCTGACCCATCTGCCTCCTCTTGACCCAGAGCAGAAGCTGCAGGAAGTGAGCCGTATCTTGAAAAGAGTCTTCCTGATCTTCCCCCATTTCTGCCTGGGCCGAGGGCTAATTGACATGGTGCGGAACCAGGCCATGGCTGATGCCTTTGAGCGCCTGGGTGAGAACTTGGTGTTGGGTGGAGCTGTAGCCAGTACCCTTGAAAATGCCTCCCACCCTAGAGTTGACTTTATAGGCTGGGGACAAAATGTTTCCAAGGGGGAGAACCAGGGATTTTAGATGGCTCTAAGATTCCTTCAGGTTAGAGGTACATTAAAAAAAAAGCAGTGATACCAAGCACTTGGTGACTCATGCCTCTCATCCTAGCTACTGAGAACTGAGGATTGTAGTCCAAAGCCAGCCTGGGCAGGAGTTCATGAGTCTCATCTCTAGTTTTCTATCCCAAAAGCCAGAAGTGGAGCTGAGGCTCAAGTGGTACAGCGCTAGCCAATGAGCAAACATGTCAGGTACAGAGTTTGAATCTTGGTCTTGCACCAAAAAAAAAAAAAAAAGAAAAGAAAAGAAAAAAAGTTAATGCAATCTTCAGTCCTTTTGGGAGGAATCTAAGGCTCCAAAATAAGGGAAATAGAGACACTATGTCAATTAGACCCCCAGTTGAGCATCTTATCAGGTCTCAGTGCTTTCCCTTAAGAATACATTGGTGCCAGGTGCTAGTGGCTCACGCTTGTAATCCAAGCTACTCAGAAATCTGAGATTTGAGGATCATGGTTAAAAGCCACCTTGGGCAGAAAAGGTTGTGAGATTCTTTTTTTTTTTTGTTGGTCGTGGGGCTTGAACTCTGGGCCTGGGCACTGTCCCTCAGCTCTTCAACTCAAGGGGAGTGCTCTACCACTTGAGCTACAGGGCCACTTCCGGTTGTGAGATTCTTATCTCCCATAACCTCCAGAAAACCAGAAGTGGCGCTGTGACTTAAAGTGGTAGAGCACTAGATTTGAGCAAAAAAGAACTCAGGGACAGCACCCAGGCCCTGAATTCAATCCTCATGACCACCACCACCACTACCACCAACAAAGTGAAATATATTGGTAGCTGAATGCTAGTGACTTAGCTGGTGACTTACACCTGTAATCCTAGCTACTTCGGAGCCAGAAATCTGAGGACTGGGGTTTGGCATCAGCCTGGGCACAAAAGTATATAAGACTTATCTCCAGTTAGCCAGCAGAATGCCGGAAGTAGTAGAGAATGCCCAGATTCTTAGTTCATGCCCAAGTAACAACACCAAAAAAAGAAAGAAAGAAAGAAAGAAAGGAAGGAAGGAAGGAAGAGAGAGAGAGAAAGACAGAGAGAAAGAAGGAAAGAAGGAAAGAAAGAAAAGAATAGATATGAAAGTGGTGCTGTGGTTCAAGAGGTAGAGCGCTAGCCTTGAGTTGAAGAGCTGAGGGACAGCGCCCAGGCCCAGAGTTCAAGCCCCATGACCAACAAAAATAAATAATAAAAAAGAGCCCTTTGGTACTGGGCACCAGTGGCTCTTGCCTGTACTCTTAGCTATTCAAGAGGCTGAGATCTGATCATTGTTTTTCAAAGCTATCCCAGGTAGACAAATCCAGGTCCAGGACCCAAATTTGGTATGTGATGTTTGTGCTCATTGGCTAGTGCACTACCAACTGAGCCATGCCTTCAAACCCCAAGTCCTTTTTTAAAAAATTCTGTTGGTCGCACTGTTCACAATAGCTAGGATATGGAAACAACCCAGATGCCCCACCACAGATGAATGGATCCAAAAATTGTGGTATCTATACACAATGGAATATTATGCAGCTATTAGAAATGACAAAAT